ACTGCTAAGAAAGTTGGTTCACTGTGTCATGGTAGACAATTTTTCTCTCCAGAATCTATCTTACATATTTATGAATCTACCATTCATCCATGCCTTGAATATTGCTGCCACATATTGTCTGGTACTCTTCCTATATATTTAGAAAAGAATCCAAAAAAAGAATTGGCAATATTATTGGTCCTGACCTGTCATCTCAGCTTCAGTTACTTTCCTACCAATGTAAAGTTGCTTTCCTGTGCCTTTTCTATAAATACTTTCACAGTAACTGTTTGGATAAGCTCTTCGCTATTGTAAATACTAATTGGGGTTAACTTTTAGATTTGTTGTTTTTATTCCCCTCTCCCCCCACAGACATCGAATTGTAAATATGGGGACTAGTTAGTATTTTCATAGAGACAAAGAGGTATTATGGTGGTTGTAGTAAGAAAGGTACGTATGAATGTGTTGTTTTGGTGTAAGGAATATTGTTTTATACGATTGGGTCAGTGATTGCGGCTAGCTAAGTTATAGTTAAGACAGAAGAAGACTTTGCTGCAGTAAGAAGAAGACTAAAGCCAAGCTGCCAGATCAGGAACAATAATATTGCTGATTCTTTGGATTTTATCAAGGAGCTCAAGCTAAATAGCAGAAGAACCAATATTCTAAGCATGGATGAATGGTAGACTTAGAGATATGTAGGATAGAATCTGGAGAGAAAATTTTTTTGGCACAACACAGTGAGCCAACTTTATTAGCTGCTGACCTAGCAATGGATTCAATATAGTCTTTCCACTTCAGGTCAGCTGAAAACTTTAGCTAGAGAAGGTACAACAAGTCACTTTCCTGGAGGTTAGCATCAGCCATGCTGATGGAAGTCAGAGAGGAGTCTCTCAGATGATTAATGGACAAAAGCTTAATTTTCAAGGTGTTAAAATTAACAAGCCATCCTTTTCTCCAGTTAACAACAGACTTGAGATTCCTTTTGACATCAGCTAGCATTTTGACCTTGTCAGACTGATCAGCCTTACTGCTGAGACAGGAGTAAATGGTAGTGTCATCAGCATAGATACCAAGTTGAGAGCTGATGTTATTGGGAAGGTCATTAATGAAAATTAAAAACAGAGTAGGACTAATGATGAAGCCCTGAGGGAAACTCATGTCAGTATGAAAAGATCTAGAGGAGTGGGCATTGAGGATAACCTTCATTTCATGATGTGATAGGAAAGACTGGATCAGTTCAAAAATGTGTCTACTGTAACTTTTCAGCTTCTGGAGAAGACCTGTATGCCAAAATCTGTCAAAAGCTTTTGAGATGTCCAATGCTACAGCCTGGGCTTCATCATTTTCATCTAGAGCAGGATAGACTATTCTGCAATTATCCTCAGTACATCAGCAGTTGACTGGGATAAATGAAAGTAATGTTGCTTTTCTGAAAAAAAAGGACCTGCGATAAGAGTTTCCCAAAAAGAGGTAGAAAGCTAATAGGCCAATAGTTGGAAGGGTTAGCCGGTTCATCAGAGTTCTTAAAAACTGGTACAACAGATGACATCTTCCAGCAGGTATTTATACAGTTTAGAAAGAACAGAAGCCAGTTTGGGAGCACACTTCTTAATGATTATTACAGGGATACCATCAGGTCCACATGCTTTGGAGGGATCCAGGTTAGAGATGATAGCAGAAACCATGGAAAGGATTATATGCATATCATTCAATAGTGATTCAGTTGTAGGTGGGAAGTTTGGCAGGGATACTCCAAATGAGTCAAGGGTAGAGTTTAAGGAGAATTTATAGGCAATGCATTCAGCTTTATAAGCATAGGAAGATAACACCTCAAATTGATTGAATAGGGGAGGAATAGAGACCTTACATTTATTTAATACCCTATTACAGAGCTGCCAGTAATCACGAGCCAAATTTGTTAAAAACTATGAGGTGCCTCATTCCCTCAGGAAACAGGGACTTAGCTCCTTCGAAGACTCTTTTATATTTATTATGAGCAGCAATGAACAGGCATCTGTTGTGACAAGAGTGGTGACATTGGTATAGCCAAAAATAGTGGTTCCTATGTGCTATAGTGGCTGAGTATGCTGGTGGGAACCATAGAGAGGATTGAGATTTCACCTGGTATTTCCAAGAAAGGATGAAAGTGCCAGTTTGACCCAAGAAAAACCTCAGTGGCATAATTCTCAATTGGGAGGTAAAAGATGTCAGTTCAAAGGGCATCACAAAGAAAATCATGGAGTCCCAATCAGTGTTCTGGAAAGAGGTCTTATGAATAGGGGGTTCCTGCCTAATAGATGAATGGAATGAAATATAAATAGATACCACAAAGTGGCTCAAGTTACCAAGAGGGAAGTGTTGCAAAGCTTGGCAAAAGCGAGGAGAGGAGTAAGAAATAAATAGAGAAGACTGTTGCTTGGTTTTGTTAGGGAAATGAGTAAGGAAGTCCATGATTTCATTGAGGGATTTGGCAATGGAAAAATTTAATGTCTGAATACCGGCAACATCAGTACCTTTAGAATATTTCAGCCATGTGTTGTGGTGTGCATTAAAATGATATCTGGCAACAATTCCAAGAGAAAAGATTCTATACTGCAGAAGTTGTAACAGATACTAACAGATATTAGAGAAAGAAAGGTTGAGGTTGGTAGGTGGCATTTTATTTACTGGTTTGGTTGTATTTCTTTTTGTGTTTTCCATGAGATTTATTTTGAGGAGAGAAATAAAAGACCAACATAATTATCACTATCTGCTGTCGATGGCAATACAAACTAACCAGAGCATGGCTGAGAACAGAACATAATGTGGAAGTCGGTCAGGTGTTCAACTGTACAGCAACCCTATGGCCACACCTAGTCATGTGACTAATCTAGAGAGCATACAAGCTATTTCCTTCCCCAGTCAACCACAGATTGGAGATCCTTTTTGAGAACAGTAGCTAGGTTAGTTTTATCAATGATACCAGATTTACTATTAAGGCAGGAGTAAATAGTGGTGTCGTCTATGTAGATGCCAACTTGGGAACTGATGACATCAGGAAGATCATTGATGAAGATCAGGAACAGTGTAGTGCCCAAGATAGAGCAAGAGGAGAACCCGTTTAGGATGACTTTCATTTCACAGTTCAACAGGAATGATTAAATTAAGCCAAATAATCATCCTGTAATGCTGTAACCCTGAAGCTCACAAAGGTCAGCATGCCAAACCCTATCAAACGCTTGAGCTTCTCCATTATTGTTGAGTGCTTGATATACAAATTCAGTTATGGCCATGAGCACATCAGTGGTAGATCGGGCAAAGTGGAAACCATATTGCTTGTTGGAGAGCAGATTATGAGAAGTAAGGTGCTTAACCACTTTGGTGTTGATTAAAGCCTTGAAGACTTTACCGAAGAGTGATAGGAGACTGATAGGATGGTAGTTAGATGGGTTAAAAGGGTCAACAGAGTTCTTAAAGACAGGCACAACAGATGAGAACTCCCAACAGGCTGGAAAGCAAGAGTCAGTGAGGCAGTAGTTGTAAAGTTTAGAGAGGACAAAAGCCAACTCAGGAGCGCATTTCTTCAGGACAATGACCAGTATCCCATCCCCACCACTAGCCTTATGGGAGTCTAATTTAGAGATGATGTCCAATACCATCATTGGGGTTATGTGCATTTCACTCAGAAGAGCCTCAATTCTAGGGGGGGGGAGTCTGGTGTTGGCTACACCAGATGAGTTTAGCATTGAATTGGATAAGAACTTATGAACAAAGCACTCAGCCTTATCAATTGAGGAGGCCAAGACCTCAAACTGGTTGAATAAAGGGGGTACTGAGTGTTTGCTGTTGTTCAGCACACTTTTGCAAAGCTGCCAATAATCTTTTGAACCAAACTTGCAAGACGTAATACATTGATTCATTCTTTCTGCAAAGAGTAACGTTGCAAGCAGTGACAAAGAGACGTCTGTTGCTATCAGACATGCGTCTATGGTATAGTCGAAAGAAGTGATTCCTGTGGGGATTAGTTGTTGCACAAGCAGCAGAGAAGAAAGGGGATGAGTGCGATTTTATTTTATATTTTCTTGTAGGGATGAAAAAGCCTTGATTTCAGCTTCTACCCAGGATGCGACCTTAGACACACATTTTTGGATGGGAAGGTTAAAGACAGTATTCCAGGGGACATCACAAAGGAAATCTCAGAATAAGTCCCAATCTTCTCATTGATAATAGAAAGATGTTCTGTTGGTAGGAGGTTCTTCAAGTTTGAAATTAGCTGTCTAACTTTCCTATTATCTTGGCCTTTCTTATATTAATATAACTCCACACAGTAAGCTTCTACCTTGAGTGGCCCTTGGGCCTTATATTAGATGAACATTAGTAAAAAAAAAAATAAAATAAATAAAATAAAACCACTCAACATAGAATACAGCCAAGTGAAAGTTTTTACTTTATGATTCAGCCACTCTTTTCTAAGGATAAGCTAGACAAGGCGCACATTCTGTGTAGAGTGTTGGATTGTACAATGTAGGTATTATGAAAACTAACATAGGGCTTGGCATGAACAACTCACTTATTTAACTAAGTATATTTATAGTTTAAGTAAATATACTATTTTGCTGTTAGAAAAAATGAATAACAGTTGCTTGCAGCCATTGTTTTAGGATTTTATTTCAGAGTTGAGATTTACTTGTTTACAATTGTTTTTAATGTTTATTTCAGAGTTGAGATTTACTTGTTTACAATTGTTTTTAATGTTTATTAATTCCTAGACATTAAGAATGCAATTTTTTTTTTTTAAGAAAGTTTATCCAATAAAAGACATTAGAATCACTCATGGTAGAGAGTAACTGTGTGATATAATATGAATATCAGAAGTAGAAAGAAGCAGAGATTATGAGAATAACGATAACAAATGACTCAACTTGATATGCTTAAGATTGTGGTGTTCATGGAAACATCCATGTGAAAGAAGCAGTTCCTGGGAAAAAAATGTCCAAGTGAAACTTCAGTTTTTCAAAATTCCAATAATTGTTCATACGTACCAATGCATGAAGGATTTCATGTTTGATTGTAGAAAGAAGTTGTGGGCTTGTTGATAAAGAATTTGGGCATATACTAAAATAACCAGCCACGGGTCTGCAAAAAAAAAAAAAAAAGAGATAAGAAACAAATTTGTATGAAAGGAATTCTGGAAATAGAAGAAGCTAAATCTTTGCTAGATGCAGATTCTACACAGTGTCAATAGCCACCATTTTCTATAAATTGAACCATAAAACCAGTGATAATTTCTTTGTAATTCTTAAATCTTAATTCTGAAATGAATCCTTTATTTAATCTATAAAGGGTAGACTGTTCTCATTCCATGGCCCATATCACTAAAACAATAGCTTAGTGGTTGGTTTGTGAATTTGGTGACAATGGTCATGAGTTCAATTTCTGGGTCAGGCAGTGTGTACTTACACTCAATGTGTGAGCAATAACTAAGAAACACTAAATAAAAATAGGAACTAGATATCTCTTGACGTGAGCAGTGGAATGAGAACAGTAAATTAAATAAAGGATTTAGTTTATAATTCCCTGTAAGTTACTATTGTGAAGAAAATGGCGAATTACCTCATCAAAACAAGCAATAGTGTGTCATGTGTATCCTATGATGGAAAATGTGGCAAAAAAGAGAACTAATTATCCAAAAAAGGGGGCACATATTCTGCATGACATGCTGAAGACAGAATAATAAAATTAGAAACAAGTCAGTTGCAGGAGTCACTATAAAAGTATTTTGATATGCAAAAATTGAGGCTCCTCTCCTAGTTGTCAACGAATGGAAAAAATGCTCGACCGATAAAAGCAATTGGTGTTCTCAAATCGAGAGAAAGGATTAAAATTTGTGTATTTTGGCTACCGCTTTTGTCGTAGAGCAAGTCATTTTTCTGACTGGTTATGTGCATTTGTAAGATAGTACCTGCGAACTGAGATTTCGGCATTTCTTTCTGCCCCCGATATTTGAGTCTGATTTGTTCTTTGCATTGTGGAAGTAATCTGTGACAAATATTTCCTTTGCAATCCCAGAATGCTTACAGTTACCTAGATAGATATACACCTGAGAAAGGCTGCAGGGCACAACGGTCGAATGGTTGTGATGATAACAACAAAGATGAGGATAATAGTCCAAATATAAATAGTGTAGATAAAAATAACTCCTCATCCAAGAAATTCAAACAAAAAAATAAATATGGTTTTGTCACTCAGCATTAAAGGATTTACTGAAACACTAGTTTGCACAAGATGTCAAAAGAATGTTGCAATTATTTTATATGTTTTAGGTTTGCAATTGAATTGTGCTGTTCAGTTTTACATTATACTTTTACTTATGCAAATGCGTCTAGCATTGTACTTGTTGGATTTTCATTGTACATTTAATTTTGCAATGACATTGTATTTATTAAAAACTCTGTTGCTTTTGATATTTATGGAAAATCAAACTAAATATTCTAATCAGAAATGAATCATCATAGTTCTATTTATCAAGTCTAAGGTAATAAAATTTTATTTCTTCGAAATCATCAGAAAAGTTTACTATAGAACTTTCTTGATTATCTGATCCCCTTTGAAATAGGGACTGAAAAATATGTTGAATACCTAAATTATTAAAAAAAAAGAATGAATAAAAAAATATTTGTGTAATGAAAAACATACAAAGCTTTGCTCGAAGATTTATTCAACTATAACTCCACTTTAGCAACAGGGCAGCGCTTATTCTTTTATGACTGGTTCAGGGGGAGACAACTATGGTTGACTTCCACCACAATTTATATCATCAATTAACATTTTCAAATGCTTTGTACAACATTTTGTCCAGTTTATTTTTTTATGAAAATAAATCAGATTATTATATAAATTGTGGTGGAAGTATCAATTTTTATTTTTGGTTGGCCTCAATTTTTGCCACTAACTCCCAAATCTGGATGTATTTGTAGCTTCTGGTTGAAAGCACAACCAAATTAAATAATTGTCAATCATAATCAGATGTCAAGAGATGGATGGACAGACAGACGTCAACAAGCCTTAAACAGATGGACAGATACAACAGTCCCGAAGCAAATGGACAGGCTGATGGACAGACAGACGTCGAAAGGCCAGAGGCAGATGGATGAACAGACAGACGTCAAAAGGCCAGAGGTAGACAGATGGACAGACAGACAGACATCAACAGGATTGAGACAGACATCAACAGACCTGCAGCAGACAGAAGGACAGAAGTCAACAGGCCCAAGACAGATGAAAAGATAGATGTCAACAGGACTAAGACAGATGCATACACATTGCATTTAATATATTGAGATGGTAAGATTATTTTTGAACAAACAGAAGGATCATTTGAAACTGAAAAAAAAAGAAAAAAAACTATATCTATGTCCTAAGACTAACTTGATTATGGTTTTAAGAATATAAGCATTGACATAAGAAAGAATATCAAAGAGAGAAAGCAAGAGAGAAAAAATCCTACTCTAGAGGGAGATAATCTGTGATAAAAAAATGGTGCAAATGAATTTGTGTAACAGTAAAAAAAGTAAATGATTTAATATTGATTGCAAACAACAATTACAATTAATGAAGTCAGTTAAAAGAAACATCAAAAATGCTTTTTAAAGACTTTTTGCCATTTATGGCTTTAACTGCTGATTAGATTTTGCCATATCCTGAGTTGTTTTTAACTCAATGTTAATTTGTATTTAAAAGATAATTACAAATAACTGGAGTGAAAAAAAAAATATGGAGAAAAAACAGAGATGTAAAAATATCAGGATACAAACTTTCCTCATAATAATATTCAAATTTTGATGCCAGCTAAAATTAACTTTTCACTTCATAGAGAATATATAAAGTAATTCTGTTTTCAATGATATAATGTCATCAAAATGCTTAAACACTATTGTCACATTATATCATAAACAAGAATTATATAATATTTCACTGAAGATTGAATTCAAAAACGAAACAGATTGTCACTGCTCGTTGTTGACCTCAGGGTCTACTTTCATATTTACTCAGGCTCTATCCCCGATATTGAGCACTTTTACCCATAAATATAGCATAACTAAAATTTACACACACACACACACACGTGTGTGTGTGTGTGTGTTGATGTATTGTTTGGAAAGCTTATCCACAATTTTGATTACAACATCTTATTCAAACAATACAATAAAAAATGAAAGACAAAATCAAAGAAGCACAATTTAAATATTTGAGAAGTGTTAACTCAGGATGGAAAGTGTGACACCAAAATCCAAAATGCAGATTGAAATTGCGAAAGATGACTTCTAAAAACTAAGCAAAGTATTAAGAAATAAAAAAAATTTAATTAGAAATAAAGAAAAAAGTATATAAATTGTTTGGACTCTCATCCTCATCTTTGTTGTCATACTTACAATATGTCAGCTGTTGTATGTTTTGGCCTTCTTCAGGTGAATGGAATTTTGAACCAAACCCTTTATTTCATCCACCAGGGTAAATTGTTCTAGTTCCATGTACTATGCCTCTTCCACATAAATTATTTCCCTTTAGTAACTCTGCAAGTTTTGATCACTTCTGCTGTGGCCAGGTATTGAACTCGCATGCTTTTATCTACTGGGCTATGTGAAGAAGGCCGAAACATACAATGGGCAAAACGTTGTGAATATGACAACAAAGATGAGGAAAACAATTCAAATTATGTAAATACTGCAAATAGTTACAATACCTCATCTCAGAAATATAGACAGATAAAGGACACAGTACTGAACTGTTACCTAATATCAGCCCTCTTATATGGCAGTGAATTCTGGATAATCTCCTCACAGATGAAGAAGAGACTTGAAGCAACAGAAATCTGGTTCTACAGAAGGATGTTGAGAATTTCATGGACATGTGAGCAATGACAAATTTTTAGAAAAAATGGAAACAAAAAAGAAACTTATACTTAGAATCAGAAAGTGATAATTGAAATTTCTAGGGCTGATAATGAGGAAAGAAGGCTTGGAAAATTTGATACTCATGGGACATACTGAAAGCAAGAGAGACTGTGGAAAACAATGCATAACTTACCTAGTGTGCTTGAGTAAATGGATGGTGGAACAGGGTTAAGGAGAGATAAAAAAAGACAAGATTTATTAAGAGCTACAAAGGACAGGAAATTGTGGAGAACCATGATCCCCAATGTCCTGAAGGAACACAGCATATAGAAGGGTAAAGTACCATTCATTCGGTTTTTTAATGACATAATAAAATTCAAAATCTGCCTTTATTTGTGAACTGCCCATTATTCCCTTTCCAGTTTTAACGGACTTCAAATAGCTTCTGGGCAAGGAATTATTTTCAAACCTACAGCCCCTTTCTCCACAGGCTAAATGACGCTACTCTATTGCTATTTCCATGGAAAAATGTTGTGATGAGCTACATTCCTTGGTACAACCAGTTCAGATCTTTACTGCTAAGAGCTAATGTGCCATGTACACAGAGTCAAATCATCCACAATCCCTTTGTATTTAATTGGTAAGAAGATAGTTCCTCTTGAGCAGTTCCTGAGAACTGTTACTTTGAAAGATGCTTTCTCAATCATTACAATCTTAACATCTTCAAGTCAAGGGTCAAATGTTATTTATCGTATATATATCCTCATATTCTTACTTCCTTCACTTATAGTCATGCAACAAGTTCATTCAGTACCTTGAGCGGCTCTTTGGCCTTGAATTGGGTGAACAAAAATATATATCTTACATACAAGGGTAGTGCCAAAAATGTTCTCAGCCTGGCCCATTTTTTAAAAGTTGACATCAGAATTGGGAGTAGGGAATCTCTTCTTGGTTAGGTTAAGACCTTTTCACACCTCCTCATGTAGTAACAAATTATCTGATGATTGTTTAAGGTGTGAAACTGAAAGTCACAATGCAGTGTTGATTTCTATGTCTACACTGTTTTATATATTTCTTATTACTATAAACATTATATTTCATGAGTATATGTGTTTGAGTAGATATCCCATATCCCATTTTTTTTTTTAAGTCATGAAATTAATGTCTACCGGCTTAGAGATCAAAATAATAAATGTTGAGAAATAAAATGTGTCTCCTGACAGCAATTGGAACTGTATCATGTTTATAATCTGAAAAACACTTTCAAACTAAGCATGCTTTACCATCAAGTCACAACAAGATAACAACAAAGCAAAAATCAAGTACTTTACTTAAGAAATACATATCTTTTTGTTTGTTTGAAAGCATCTCTAAAATATTTACTAACTGTAACTTAGTTTGACACAAAGTCACAAATATAGAATGCCTATGGAGGATCCAACTTATAATTTATTCATAATGGTCAAGCAGACCTTTTTTGCTATTACCAATTCCGCAAGGCATACACTTCTAAGTAATTGTAATTTACTAAGCTTAACTTAGATCTGGTAATGACTGCAATTATAGTGAGAATCAAGCTCATTACACAATAGTAGTGGTCAATCAGGCTCTCTATCTAAACATTACCACTTCCTCAAGGAACACATTTTTAAGTAATTGTTTACTGATCTGGTAGAGGACCACAATTATGGGGCACCTAGTGAGGATTGAACTCAGTACTCAGTAGTAATGGACAACTAGTTTAGCCTTACTAACAATTATCTCATGCACATTTCAATTATGGAATAATTACAGGAAAAAAAAAACAAAACAAATATTTGAATTATCCGTACCTGTCCAAGGATCTTTCTTGTTGACAGTAAGCTGCATAAGCAATTGTGTTTCCATGGTGACATCGTTCAGATGACAAGGCAGCGACATAGAGAATGAAATCAGTGTTGTTCACTCCTGGACCTTTTGTTCCTCTTTGTTGATAGCCATCACTATCACAATGCACGCAATAACAAGTCTGCAATTTTGAAAAAGATTAAAAATGATAAATGGGTAAAAAACAAAAAAATAAATTAAAAAAATAAAAAAAATTTTTTTTTAATCTGTGTATCTTTTTAGAGGTTAGAGATACTGAGTTTATGTCATGAAATCTACTGGCTAGTAGTTTTTGTGAAAGGAATAATGACCCTAATGAGATTTTAGGCAACTGTTTTCAATTCATTTTTGAGGATCTTCCAGGCAATTGGGGGATGGACCAGAGGTATTTTAGATGAAAAATGCAATAATTCATGGTTTAACCAGATGCTATTGTTTAGACCATAATACTGAAGAAAGAACGGTAGCCCTATATTCTAAAGATGGCTTGAAGAAACTTGTTCGTACCTCCAACCTCTAGTATTAGAAATTGAAAAAAATATAATGATGTGAAAAAAAAAATACCAGCTTGTATGGCCAAGCTTTATGTACTGGCCTTCAAGAGTAATGAGGTTTTTTTGAAGGGGGGGGGGGGCTTGAAGGGAGATTGTTTATTACTGCTCGAAAATAGATGCTTCCAACATAATCTTGTATAACTCAAATGAGCAAATAAGTCAAACTTATTAATGCAGAAAATGCATGAAAATATTTGTAGAAAAGACATTGAGAAGCCACATCATGTTGGTGAGAAAATGACTGAAGATGTTAGGTCAGGACTGATTACATTACATCCAAGTTTAACGTCTTTGAATTTTAAAACTGTTCATAATCTGCTTCCAACACAAGAAAACATCAGTTCAACAAACAAGACAACACCATAACAAACTAGTTACAAGTGAAAATTTCCCAGCTAATATATACCGAGTATAACAGCAAAATTGTCCAAATCATGTAAAAGCTTGGGATAATTGTCCATCCCACAAAAGGTTTAATATCTAAAAAAAAAAAAAAAAAACACACTAAACTAATTGAGTTTCTTTTTTTCCATGTTTTCGGATAAGATGTTTAGCTATCTTGACATCAGTTGTCATAAGAATCAAAGAAAAACCCTTCAAGTTATTCAGCTAGAAAGAGAACAGGTTAAAACTATGTCTTCCCAACTGAGCAATGGTGAGAGGAAATTCAGTAATGGTATCAACATTCATACTCTGGTTTCCATCCTCAAAGTCCATTCAAGAATCATCAAGAGAAGAGTGAAGTAGTTTAAAAAGAAGGGAACAGTAGAAAAGAAAACTGGATCAGGAGGTCACAACAAGAAGAGGGATCATCATTTCAGCTTAGAGCTAAATACATTCTTTTTGTTCAAAGTAGACTCCAATAGTTTTATAAAATCCTTGGAAAATTCCAGTAAGATATCTTTAATTATTTCTAAGATACAATGGTTCAAAGCTTAATCTAACAATTGGATAAAGTTATTTTGCTGTTAAACCTGGTATATCCATGCAACTCAAGAAAATATCCCTATTTCAATAAACAAGGCAACACCACAACAAACTTGTCAGAAGTCAAAATTTCCCAGAAAAAATACATATCCAGCCAACACAAGAAAATATCCTAATCCAACAAACAAGACAAGGCTGCAGTGAACTGGTTACAAGTAAAAATTGTGAGTGACAGGAAACTGGAAGAGAGTTCCATAAGTGAGAAGTGCCAGAGAAGAAATTATTTGCATAGAACTTATGAGGGGAATTAAATCACATTTAGAATTACATTTGAAATTATCTTTTAAAATAACATCCAAGATTAACAAGTTTTAACTTTAAAAACAGCATTTCATAATCTCAAAGTTCAGAAACCAACAAAATATTCATGTTGGTTCCATCAAGAAAATTGAAACTGACAACATTTGATAACAAGTCTTAGAAAATTAGCAAAAAGAAGAAAAACACAGTCTGATTCTGCTCTAATTATAAAACCCAGAGTAGAAGCTGCAAGTAAAAGATAATGAGATTTGTCTTATAGTAGAAATAACGTCCCTGGATGCATTTTCTCATATTCAACGGTAGTTCCACATTCCAGTTGCTTCAATTTGTTTCATTTTTCCTTGAGCATAAACTTCATTTGTGCAATATAGCTACTTTAAAAGCATGACTGATGAAAAGAATTAGTTAAAAATGCAGAATACAAAATATGATGAATTAAAAAAGAATCCGTTCTTTTAAAATTCAGGATTCTCTGGAATCCGCCAAATGATCTGTCTGTTAATGAATATTATTTCAATTTAATATTTCTTGTAATATCACTATTAACTAGTGTACAGGCAAGGTAAGAGTTTTCTTTGAATTTAAGAGAAACTCAAAGATAAAATCACAACGTAATCAAGATGGTGATATTCCACACTACTTCAAACAAAAGGTTAACAAAGAAACTGCCATCAATAATAGAAAGAGTGATAATTGTTACTGGGCTTGAGAAACAGATTTTTCCTGAAAATTGTTTTAAGTGAAAATTTTTACAAATTTCAATCAAAAGTAGTATGGGTTGTTTGATCAATATTTGCTGAATGTTTCCTTATAAGGAAACAACTAATATTACCTTTAGTGTGTGGTGCATATGCATCAGTTAGAGAATAGAGAAAAAAAAATGAAGAGGAGAATGAAGAAACAAAGCAAGAAAGGATAAAAGAAGAAAAATGGTGAAAGAGAAAGGAGAAAAGCAAGAGAGTGGAAAATAGAACCAAAAAGAAAGAACTGGAAAATAAAGTAAAAACAATGCACCAAACAAGGACAAAGATATGATGTGAACCAGGTATTGGGAGAGGAGTAAAAAGAGAGTAACAGGAGTGTAAAAAGAGAGTAACCGGAGTGTAAAAAGAGAGTAAAACAATGCAATGACAAACACAAAATAGGAACCAGGTATTGGGAGGAGAGTAAAAAGAGAGTAACGGGAGAGTAGAAAGAGAGTAACGGGAGAGTAGAAAGAGAGTAACGGGAGAGTAGAAAGAGTAAAAAGAGAGTAAAACAAGACAAGGACAGAGACAAAATGGAAACCAGGTATTGGGAGAGAAGTATAGAGAGTAACATGAGAGTAAAAGAATTGTAAAAGGAAAAGAAACTAAAAAGAAAATCAGTTGAATGTAAAGAGCATTATTTACAAAACCAGATGGCCAGGGAGTCTGTGTGAGCTTATCAATAAAGCCTGAATGATTCTTGGAGGTTTCATGATATACTTGGCAGTAGAAATGCTGCAGTAATTGACAGAGCCTGCAGCAAAATAACTTAATTCTTTTACCAACATTCTTTGTACAGAAAAAAAAAAACTGTCATTATATTTGCTTAGCTTTTACATTTATTTTTTTCTAATTCTTTTAAAAAGGTTTTTTTTTAATGTTTAAGGCTTCTTGCTGTTTCTAACCAGTATAAAAAAATTCATGATGCGATCAACTGAAATGAACTTATAAGATTTCATTGAAAAGGTACAACAGAAGATATTAGTTTATGGTCTCTTTGAAACGAAGTAAATTGATTAAAAATCAAAGTAAAAAATAAATCTAGACATAGCTGACCTTGAGGATAGAGTCAGACAAATTAAGATATGCTGAAAAAATACAGGAGATTTGAGTTGAGATTTAACTGTAGAATTGCAAATAATTTGATTTGTAAATAGGGATAACTGCAATGGAACATGGGATGTGCAGGTGGTGAAATGGATGGTGCCTCAAAATGAGAAATTGGAAAGCAAAGTTCAACTTTGCATGAAAGTGAATGAAATGAAACTTGACAAATAGCGTTGGGAAAGTTATGAATCCATCTCTTCTCTCCTCAGCTATAGGATAAATAGTAAATCTGGCCTCTTCAGCTTTGGTTGGCAACCAGTCTATGGAAAAAAAAGAACTTTATATTCAAAACTGGCTGAGCATGGTGTTGACAGCCCACCCTGTAAGAACATACTTGTTACAGAAAGCATAACATACTGAGGCAGTGGCCCTATTCACCACAGAGGAGACTAATAGCACTAAGGAGGAGTCTCTTTTCTCTCTATTTATATTTATATTTATATATATATATATATATATATATATATATATATATATATATATATATAATGAAATGGACCAGGTCCAATAATTATTTTAATATATTTTATTGTTATACGTTATTTATATAGACAGAAATATTTAAGTAAATTCTGTTTTTAATAAACAGTATTAACAACATTTAACAGCCTAAATGTTGAAGGACATGTATTTTCTATAAAATTTCTCAGGCATTCGGGCTGGTAAATGTTGTTAATACTGTTTATTATAAACAGAGCATTTATTTCAATATTTGTGTTTATATATATATATATATATATATATATATATATATAAATAAATAGAAAAATTGGTGTAAAATAACATAATAAATATAATAATAGATGCTTGGTGTAAAATAGCATGTGTGTGTGTGTGTGTGTGTGTGTGTGTGTAGTGATCAAGCAATCATGAGAAAAAAAAAACAAAAAAAAAAAAACAAGTTTTACACAAATATTACCTCTTAATGATAGATTTATCACTTGCAAATAATTTATTCATTCACCAAGACAAACAAGGAAAAAAAAACAGAAACATTTGACAAACAGATTACAAGAACATTCATATATCTACTGAACCAGTACAAATATATCCATCTGTATAAATGTCTCACATTGTTATGATGTATATGTGTTATAATTTACTAACCCAAAACAGGAATCAAACAAGGCTCATCATAATTATATATATATATATATATATATATATATATATATAAACAAACAAACAAGGTGGTAGTAAAAAGTTCTGAGAGTGTAAGTCAGGAAATGTTTTTCTAAAGAAATAAGAAAATGATATTTGTTAGTAGAGTGATTCTGAAAAACATGAACTGTCTGGTGAGACATGAGAAACACTGGATAACCTGACAGATAGGAACATTGATGAATATATTAATATATTAAAATAATTGTTGAAAAGATTCAAATATTTCTATATAACTATTGTACGAAGGAAGAATTTTAAAAAACCCAAAAAAAACATTTATTTTATAGCAGACAGGAATCTTCTAAATTTATGTCTTTATTTAACTTGATTCCATTAAACAATTACAAAATGGTTTTCTTAAGGTTCTTCTTTTGTTCTAAGAATTTTATAATTGTCAGGTAAAATTTAGAAAGTATTTCTAAAATCTGATGAAAAACAATATATAATTCAATGTTTGAAAAAGTGACTTACATGCATTTTCCTCAACTGGTAAACACATTAATTTCAAAACAAGCTGGGATATGTTCCTTGAATGAGATTTTAGCAAACGTGGATAAATGTGCCCACAATAAGACAGTGTCAATGGGACAGTTTTTCCTATGACACCCCCTTTTTTTTTTTTAACTACCTTCACTCTTTGGCAATGTTTGTTGTTTTAAAAAGTGATGATCAACATTGGAATAAAATCTAAACATATAACAAAAGTGAATTTATATGTTTTTATTATTTTTTGTTCCTGAGAATTTACAACAAAATTATTAAACAATATTTATTTATTAAATTATTTAGTTACAAGAATAATTTTATATTTACAACATTCTAAAAAACTAATACAATTAAAACTAATGTAATGCAATATTTATCACTTACTAATTTATAAAGAAATAAATGTGAAAACAATTTTTTATTCATGAATTTATAAAAATTTATTAAATTATGTGAACCACCTATAAGGAAATCATTATTATTATCATTTTGTAAAGTTTGAATCAACTGGCAATTAGCCAATGTTTTGCTAATTGTTCCAATAAATAATATAATAAATAGTGGAAATAAACAGTCTAATAAAAAGAGTTTAATAATTTTATTGTAAATTCTCAAAAACAAAAAAATGTTTAAATTCACATTCATCACATGTTTATGTTTTATTACAATTCTTACCATCGCTTTTTAAAACAATAAACATTGCCAAGGAGTGAAGGTAGTTAAAAAAGTGGTGGCACTGTGAAATCCATCCTTTTGATACTGTCTAATTACAGGCATGTTTATCCATGTTTGCCAAGATTTTATATGCTGTCTAGAAGAAAGGCAAAGCACCTACTCTGCAGCTAACGAAAGGTGTGTATAATCTAAAATGACTTATCTTAAGTGCAATCAATCAATCAATAGAACACCTGCCACAGAGCAGTGATTATTAACATGACACTCTGACAAATCATTGCTCATGAGTGATCTTCTTCGTGTGCTTGATGTATCTGGTGATGTGTTAAATTTGGCAGGGTATAACAATTATCTTGAGGAATTTCATTAATAGAAATGGGTGGGGGTGTCTGTAGAAAGACATGTTTCTTTACTAGAACCAAGTAAAAGAAATAACATTAAAAGAATGTTTCATGATTATATATATGCATTCCATTGGTAAGAAAGAAGTTTAACTAAGACAGCTTCTTTCCAAAAAAAGACTACTTTGTGGTGCAGACTCCTGTGTGGATGCTTCCCAGAACACTAGGATATTACCCTCTTCAAACTTAGAGTTAATCATTACATATCTGCAAAATCTTCACTTCCTTCTTCATATCACACACTTCATTCAGCAGCCCTCTACCTTGAGTGGATCTTTTGAGCCTTGTATTGAGTGAACATTAGTAAAATAAAGAATATATATATATATATATATATATATATATATATATATATATATATATATATATATATATATATATACACACATACATATACACACACGGTGTAACATCAAAATTGTCCAAATTGTGTAACAAACATAATTATCCAGCCCACAAAATGTTTAATATCTACAAAACCAATGAACTGACTGAGTTTCTTTGTTCCAGGTTTAAGACACTTAGTGATCTTGACACCATTTTTTGTAAGAATCACTTAAAAGCTCTTTGAATTATTTAGCTAAAAAGAGAACAGGTGAAAACTGTTTTATATCAGACTCACTGTCTTCCCAAATAACCAATGGTGAGAGGAAAAATACTATTCAGACCTTCAGTAATGGTACCAACATTCATACTCTAGCTTTTATCTTAAAAGTCCATTCAAGAACCATCAAGAGAATGGTGAACAAGTTTAAAAAAAATGACAGAACAGTAGAGAGGAAAACTGGATCAGGTTACAACAGGAAGAGGGATCATCATTTCAACTTAGTTCTAAAGAGATCAATTAGAAAAGATCCAATCCAATCAATAAGATGTTTGGCACATGAGAAAGGAGTTTCAACTATGACAGTCCAAAGAGAAGTGAAAAAAAGACTTGAAAATGAAATTGTACATGAAACCTGTGATCCACTGATAAAGGCCTTTATCCACTTAAGGACACATGGCAAAGTGGATAAAGGCATTAGTTAGATCCAGTGACAGGACCCAAAGAGTTGTGAGTTCAATACCTGGTTAAGACAGTGGAGAACTTGGAGAGGTGAATTAACAGGAGATAACTGATAACTGACATCCATTAGACATGGTATGTGGAACTAGAACAGTCTACCCCAGCGAGTGAAATAAAGGGTTCACTTCAACATTCCAATCATCTGAAGGATGTCGGAGTGTACAACAGCTGAAACATTGATAAATATGGCAACAAATATGAGGACAATAGTCTGAATAATGTAAAAATATAGAGTGACATTAAATGTAGCAGGTATAAAGATAATTTTACAAGTAAACCTTCATGCAGACTATTAGATCCTACAACAAAGTAACTTAGGAAAAATATGCAAACATATATTAGAAAAATGTGTTTAAGGCTTAGAAGTATATTAAATATAAACCTGTGGAAAAAAATTAAAACCAAAATAAATGGGTTTAACAATAACAGCAATAAGACAAACTGTATAGTTATACAACTTGATATAAAAAATTTCTATTCCTTTATCAAAATTAAATGAAATGCTACACTTTGCTAATCAACACATAAACATTACTTAAAATGAAATAAAATAGTAAAACATTGCATATAATCAATTTTGTTCCATAAGAAAAAACAAACAAACAAAAAACTTATGGATGAAAAAAATGGCCAAAATAGAAATGTTGACATAACTATGGGTAGGTAGGATGGTGTAGAAATTTGTGAACTAATAGGAATCTATATATTCAATAAAATACAATAGATAAAAAAAATATAAAATTACATAGAGATGATGGTCTATTAATCTTAAGAAATTACACAAGAAGATTAAGAGACATTGATATAAAAACCAACTAAAGAGAAAGAAACTTCTTAGACATAAGTTTTAAATTAAACCATGTTGAAAACACTCCCAATCAACATTAATTTTGTGAAATACATTTGTCTGATGCTTTGGTACACATCAGTGATATTTTTAGCCGAGGTTTATTAGGGGTTTTGGATCTTTTAACATCATACTCCCTCTCTTCAGTGATTCGGTCGATACTGATAAGGTATCGACTTGTGTACCATCCATCAGCTATTACTTTCTTCATTTTTAATCACACACCATGACTCCTCTTGGCAATTTATAGTCTAATCACAGATGAATTCTGGTTCATCAGCAATCTATGCTCTTCCATAAAAAAGGAAACAAACACAGTAACAGTTTTGCTCTGATAAGGAATATGGTGATTGTTCAGCCTGACGTGGTAAGTAATGATCTTTGTTTCTCTCACTAAGATATATATGTAGACAAATACACACAAACTGATTCTACTCATTCTTATCTTATTTCCATTCATGTTAATCATCCAATCAACAAAAAAAAAACACCCTTCTCATGTGTTCATTGTGTGTGTGTGTGTATATATATATATATATATATATAAAAACAAAAAATGTAACCTTGGTAAGGGGGTAAACAGGTCTTAGATCTTAGCCACAGATCACCATTAGGTAACAATGATTTGGGGTACCCTAATTCTTTCCCCTAGTCTAGACTCCATTGTTGGGTGTGGTTTTAGGTCATACCCAAAACCCAAATATTAATATTCTAAAACAAGAAGATTTATAGCTATTCAGTATTGTATTCAACTTCATATCAGATAGATGTAGTGTCGTCTCAACATATTTATTCAAGCAAAGAGAAATCATACCTCGAGATGCTCCTCGGGAATGGTGATGTCTCCACATATTGTCTTCTTTGCACATTTCCCTACACAATATTGCATCTGGTCTTTGTAAACGACTTTGCCAGTCTGACACTTTCTGAAAGAAAGAGAGAAAAAGAATTAATTTATAAAATGTCATATCAAATTATACACATATGTTCAAGTTTTGGGTTGGAAAGTAAACTATCGAAATTCGTGTTTATTTAAAATTTATTCATTGATATCATGATGATGTGTCAACTGCAGTCGAGATCATAGAGTCCACAACACTATGCCAGACCTTCCGGTCCTTCATTGCTGTTCCCAAGTCCTGCCTACCAATGCCTGCATCCTTTGAGATGATGTCAGGGAATGATAGTTTTCTGCCCCTGACCAAAGTAAGAAGGAGAAGACAACCTCATACTCAACATGGTGGTAGTGGCCAGCAAACTGTGCTTGATGAATTAATTGTAAAGTCCATGATCTTTTTAAATGCCTGATAATGTTATTGGATACCAATATTACACATTACTATAAGCTCCTTCATTATCAATAATATCATGCCAAAAAATCACAAGCTTAATAACATTTTTGTAAAAAGGCTTAGTTTGGAGGAAAAGAAGCTAGAGCTAAGGTGTTTTAATGTTCTTGTAAACTTTAGTAGTCAACAGAGAAAAAAATCTGGAAAATAAGGGAAGTGTGAAATGTTTTTGCAGCTAAGGTCTTCAATTAATTCAAGTGTGATATGTCATCTATGGACATGTCTGTAAAAATGATAAAACACTAAAAAATTTGCAAGTGATCAAACTTGGCTTCTTTTTCTTGAAACCATTGTCTGCTGTAATTTTAACACTGACTAGTTCCACCTGAAATTTTCTAAATATACCACATTTTTTAGGCTGTATTTTATACTATTAAGTAGACATTATCTATAAATTACTAAGTTATGGTGGTTGATGATTTCTTTATATTTGTTGAGCTTTGACTAACAGCTTTTGTATTATTTTGGCAACAAGAATAAGATATCATATGATATTATATATGGCATATGATTCCATTAAATAATATATCATCCTAATTTTCTTGTTTCAATGTAGATACTAAATCAAGAGAATTTTTAGGTAAGGTTTAACACAAATACCTGCAAAAATGGTGTGTCAAAAGAATGTTTTTTTTTCATTACACCAATATTACTGGACACTCATTGGGAAAATTTTATTATTTTAAAAACATTATTTTTAGAATTTTAATCAAACCCAAACATATGAAACTAGATTTGTGTTCTCTTTTTCTCTTGTAAATTAACAAAATTATAGGGTGTTTGGAAAGTTACTGTGAACTTTTCTACATCATATTTTTTTTCCTTTCACTCCAATATGGTTTTAACATCTGAAGAATGTGTATTTCTCAATGAACAGTTATTTTGAGAAGGAGGTATATACACAGATTTGGTGTGACAGCATTTTATTACTTAATTTTCAAATACACCTGTTTCACATCGCATTGCAGTTCATTACCTTGTTGATAAATTTCAGGAATCAGGATAATACCAAACATTGTGGAAGGCCATCAAAGTTATCAGAGTAAAAACTGTTAGATATTTCTGATAGTATGCAGCAGAGTCCAAGAAAATCATTATAAAAGTCAGCACAGCAGCAAAATATTGGTCTTGGAACTGCACATAAGGTTGTCAAACAAAAATGAAAACTCTTCCTAAACAAAATACATAATAATGTTCAGAAACAAGATAAGAAAGATCCAAGACTATATTGATGCTAACAGGCATCACTTTCAATATTGTTCCTAATTTTCATTTATATTCTCCTCCCGTATTTTATATTGAAACATGTTTGTTAATAAATATATAAGTACATAGTGACTTTCCAAATACCGTGTATTAAACACAATTTTATTAGATTGCTTATTTACAAGTATAATTTTATATTTACAAGTTTATAAGAAAATATTAACTACAACACAATATTATTTAACATATTATAAAGAAATAAGTATGAAAACAATTTTTTTATTCATAATTTTATAAAAAATGTCCGAACAATAGAACAAGAAAATTTAAGTAAACATAATGACGAGGAACTGTAATTATAAATTTTGAAAAAAGGAAAAAGGTGGCATTTTCCAGGCATTTGCTTTTGCCGCATCAATTTCCTAAAACTGTGAGCATTTGGGTTTAGACACTTTTTTTTTTTTTTTATTAACTCAAGTACTGATGACAAAAACCCTAAGAAATTTGTGTTTTATTAAAATTCGAAAAATAATTTACAGAGGGAGTGTATAGTAATAGTGGTAACTAGAAAAAAAAAAAATGTCTTTTTGTCACACCATTTTTTTTTGTGAGAGAAGGGGAATACATGTTTAATTTTGACAATTAAAAAAAAAAAATAGCATTTCTACTTAGGTCATAAGTGATTACATCTCTTGACAACTTCTCTTTACAAATTATGAATTGCAATGATGACATCTACTCTAAATCCATTATAAAAATTCAGAATGTTTAATTGATAAATTGTAAATACTTTAAATACCTTGGTGTATAGATGAAGAATAATAAATTCAGTATAGGAAAAGTTAAACACGGGATAGGTTACACTGGTAATACTTTTATCCAACACTGTAAAATGCTATAAAACCAAAATATTGGTTTGAAAACAAAATCATG